CAGTGCCATCAATTGGTATTGCAGGGAGAATGGTCCAACACTCAGCTTGTGTGGCTCAAGGCGATGGACTTCTGCATTCTCCAATTGAAGACCTTCCGTATTCGCCATACAGTTGCTTCTTCAAGATGATACCTTCATCTGTGACAATCAGCATTTTCTTCATCAGTATTCAAAACATTTATCACTCTTGAGGACAGGATTTGCATGACATGATATCCTAAAAAAAGTACCCATGAAAACCATACACTGGAGATCCATTTCAAAGATATCCTTAATATATTGACCTCCAGCTATGTTACTCCATTTTGGATGGGTTTTATATCTTTTCCTCATGAGTTGCAATCACCTTTCCAGCTCATTACATAACATTGACATTGAAATCTCAACTTGGAATTGATTCATAAGATTTGATTTTAGTTGATCCAAATAGAGTGTAGGATTTTGTTCAAGAATGTGTACCACAAATCAATGTCCAGTTTCATCAATTCATATAGGTGCTGCTTCTGAAAGGTTAAGATCTGCATTGGTGATCATCAAGCCAGTTGTCTTGTAAAGATTATACCAACATGTAGCTGAAGCTATTGAAACTGATACACTCGTTTTTTGAACAATCTCTTCATGTTCTATCCCTTCCAAAAGCATTTGTATAACCAAAACATTCAGTTTGGAAGAATATAGGGTCATAGGCATTATGGCCTTTGTGTGAGACACAAGAAATGTTGATTAAGTAAGGTAAAGAAGAAATTTAGAAGAGAAAAAGGTATCTTACGGTCTCACATTTGTCAACTGTTGATATCCGTTTACTAAATGAAGAGTAGCTGATAAAGGTACACAGTCTGAGATGATGAGCAAAATTCCCTCAAAAGATGGCCACTGAAAGAAGATTCTGTTAATCTTATCAGTCTATGAATTATCACAAGCCTCAGTAGAATTACATGAGCTGTGGACCCTGCATTGGCCCAAACTTGACGGCCGATCCCATCTTGAGTCACCCTTAGAGAATTTGCCAGAAGTGCCACTACCATCAAACCACGGGAAGAACGTCAAATATGACACATCAGCACCCCTATCTGATCAACTATCAGAGTCACGGCCAGCAACGGTGGTTCCTACATTTCCCCCTTAGCTAAGCCAACTTGCTACAACCGCAAGAATCCTACCAGCAACGACTCATCTTCTGACAAATCTATACAACTCTCACTGTTCTAAAATATGTTGCAAGAATTGGTAAGCTACTTTGGAAAATAGACAATAGAGACAATCAAGATCCACTCGTGTATGCCTATCCTACCAACCTTCCAAATCCCTTACACTTGAATGAACTAAAAAATGAATATCAGAAGGAAAGAAGTTAAGATATTGCATTTGAATCTAAAGCAGTGTTGTTAAGCAAGTTTTCAAGCATGTATTGTCGGTGGCATAAATAAACATAAACAACCCGTTATTCAATTCAAGAGAAAATATGAAATGTATGAGAAAGCCTGCCTTGTTTTCTTCTATCCAAGTACAATCACA